ATTCCTCGGGCCTCGCGTATTGGCTACCTGCAGTCGGTTATAGCGGAGTAGAGGGCGGAGTTATCCGGAGCCATTTCCACAAAAGTGGGAACTGGGGTATTCGAATGAGGAGCTGAGGTGGTCGGTTGATCGCTGTTCTATTGAGGGGCTGATGTGTTGTTCGTTTGTCCGCCATCTGGGGCCGAACCAAATTTTTCCTCAAAATTGAGAAGATTTTCTGTGGTTGCAGTATTTTCCAGAAGCGCAGAAGCGTTAATCGGAGAAGAAGACATATCACTATATAATTGGTCAACTGAATGTGAGTTAACAAATGAGCAGAACTGACTTGAAAAAGACTTGTTTTGGCCTTGAGGAAGCGTGATATTGAATCTCAAATCTGATTGGCTGTGTCCGTGATCACACGTCCGATCCCCCTCTATCGGTTTGATGCTTTTAGAACATCTTTTTTCTGATTGGCTGAGCACTTCCGTCAAAATTTCGTAGCCCTCGCGCGGCTGAAAACTTGACTGAACGCACGCACATGATTGGTTAATGCTTTCCGTCAACGAACGCCACTTAATTGGCAACCGGTTTCTGAAAACCACGTTTAAACCTGATTGGTCAGAATCACCAGTCTCGCCAGCGACGCCCTCTTGCGAGGAACCACTACATCGAACACCATTAAATTGCGATACAAAGTCATCGCCCCCTACCGGCAAATGACGAATTTTAGTGAACGATTCTGATTGGTCGAAAGAAAGAGAATATGAAAGTGCGCCCTCCCGCGGCCCTACACCAGAAGTACTAATGCCATCTGGCTTTTGTTTATGGTTCAAGTTCCCAGTAATTATATGAGAAGCAAAAGTGGGATCAATAAATTCTGCCGAAGGAGTCCAGGCGCCGGCCCTAATTGAATTACACGCTTGACTAAAATTTTTGATGGTTTTAATAACAAATAACTCATCATAAACAGAACTAGGGGGGGGGGCTGTAAAAGTAGGATGGCGAGAAAGATAATCTGCCATACCAAGCGTAGCACCAGGCACATGCCGAATGTCTTAATCAAACGGCAAAAACCTGTCTGCCCAATGTATTAAACGCGACTGATAAGGTTTATTTCCCCTGTGTTCTTTCAGAGCCGAAATAATCGCTTTGTGGTCTGTAAGTATTTCAAACTTGTTGCCTAACAGATATGTGCGGAAATGCTCGCACGCCCAGACCACCGCTAACAACTCCAATTCATTAGTACTATAATTAAGCTCAGCAGTTTTGAGAAAACGTGAGGCAAGTGATATAGGTACCCACAAACCTTCTTCAGTCTCCTGCTCCAGACACACTCCCAAACCAGAGTGGCTAGCGTCACACTTGACACGCGTTCTCTTTGCCGGATCTTAGTGATACAAGTCTGTAATTTCGGCAACGAGCTCCAGAATCTTCTGAAAAGCCGCCTCTTGCGGTTCGTTCTAAATAAAGTTCCTCTCATTGCAAATTTTAAGAGAATCCCGAAATTCACACGTAAGATTATGTAAACCGGGCACGAACTTTCGGAAATAATTGAGCGTCCCCATGAAGGATCGGAGTTGTTTAAGCGTCCTAGGCGCCTTCAAATTTCGGAAAACTGCTCCAATTGTTTAATGTTATTACTGCTCCATAAACCTTTAAAGGCAGTCGGAACATTCAGGGCTTCGCCCTGATACGAGCAGTCTTGTTCTATATTTATACTTTCTTAACATACATTTTTCATTTGAATTTTTTGCACTAGTTTGGTGGGTGAACTAGTTTGAACCAAAAAAACGAAACACTAAGACGGTTACTTGAACAAAAGTTTTTTGGGAATTCTCCTTGCGAGGCCAAGCAAAAATTATGTTTTGCGAGCTGGAAGCAAATTCCGCAATAAGCTGAGAACTTATTTGTCGCCTATTTCTCAACATTTCTAATTTAAATTTTTTTTGCTGCCTTGGATTTTACAAACATATAACTGAAACACAATGTATTGATCAAAAATTGATGAAACTAGAAGAGTTTACGAAATTCACAAACAAATTATAATATGTGTATACTAAAATTACGTTTCGCAGAATCCACAGCCTTCAGCAAAAATCCCATAATGAAAGCGGACTTTGTAAAAAACAAAGATTCGGCATTTTTTGCTGATTCCAATAACATATGGGGTTTGTATTTCTTATATTTGTTCCGACTTTCGATAAGAAAGTAACGGGATATTTGTGCTCGGGGTGGGTTTTTTTTTCTTCAGACATATTTCGACTTTTTAACTAGCCATTTTTGACAATTTTTTTTACATCTTTCGAAAGCTATTGTTGTCCTGAGCTTAAATTTGAAAAGATATTTTACCTGTGATCATTTTTTGTCTAGTTATGGGGGTTTAAAGATTGCTATTTTGGCCAAATTGGGACAATTAACGCGCGATATATTTCGCGCTATTAACGCGTAAGCGGAGAGTTAATCCGTCTAGAAATCTTTGAAATTGGTTGAAAGAAGCTTATTTGCCATATTAGGCTTGTTACAAGGCGCGAAATCTATCCTTTTATACTTTATTTGGCGTGTGGGGGGATGATTTTTATTTTAAAAATTCAAATTTTAGAAAAAAACATTTTTTTTTCATTTTGTTTTATTTCATTGAATTTTTTAATGTTATTACTGATCCATAAACCTTTAAAGGCAGTCGGAACGTTCAGGGCTTCGCCCTGATACGAGCAGTCTTGTTCTATATTTAAACTTTCTTAACATATATTTTTAATTCGAATTTTTTGCACTAGTTTGGTGGGTGAACAGCGAGACTTTCCAACAGTGCCATGTGAAACTGCCAAAATTTTGAATTCACTAGCTACATTTTCAAACAGTTCCTTCTCAGTTTCTTAAACCGTAAATACTAAAAAAAACTAATGATGTAAATCTTTTTGAATGTGACAAATCAAACTAAGTTTTGGGCAACATTTTTTTTACTTTTGTCCGATTTGAGACCGACTTTTAATTCAAATTAAGACTTAAAATCTTATGGAATTAATCCAAAACAGCTTGAATTGATAGTTTGATATTCTGATATTGCAATAGAATTAGTTTAGAAATCAGCAAAACAATAGCACTCGGATTCATCTCAAAAGAACCAATCCCATCCCAAACACCACCCTCTTCACAAATACAAACAAGACTGCTCGTATCAGGGCAAAACCCTGAATGTTCCGACTGCCTTTTAAGGTTCATGGAGCAGTAATAACATTAAATATTCAATGAAATAAACAAAATGAAAAAAAAAATTTCTTAAATTTGAAATTTTTTTAATGAAAATCATCCCCCCACACGCCATTTAAAGTACAAAAGGATAGATTTCGCTCCTTGTAACAAACCTATTATGGCAAATAAGCTTCTTTTATCCAATTTGGAACAATTTTTAAGAAGGATTAACTCCGCTTACGCGTTGTTAATCGAGAGAAACGTTGTTAATAGCGAGAAATATATCGCGCGTTAATTGTTCCAAATCGGCCAAAATGGCAATCTTTAAACCCTTTAAACTTTACGAAAAAGGATCACAGGTGAAATATCTTTTCAAATTTGAGCCCAGGACAACAATACCTTTCGAATGATATAAAAAAAGTTCGTCAAAAATGGCTAGTTAAAAAGTCGAAATTTGTCTGAAGAAAAAAAAACCCACCCCGAGCACAAATATTCCGTTACTTTCGTATCAAAAGTCGGAACAACAATGTATATTGCATAAAAGTCTCTTAAATTATGTACCCCATCCTAAATGCCTCCAGTGGCTATCTATGGTAATTTATGTAATCACATACATCTAACAAGTCACAACCAAAAACCCGCTAATCAGAAATGTTGACTTTGCTCATTAGGTTTGGAAAAATTGTTTACCATTTTTTAATCTAAAAACATCTCGTGGGAAATTCATCCCAAAAACTACTAGGATACAATCCAAGTTTATAGTCAATCAATGATTTAAGATTAGTTATAAGATTCCAATGACAGTTGTTCATCCTGGCTTTCAACTTCGGCATTTGCTAGACATTTAAGTTAGCTTTTGCTCGTTATTGTTCACGCCATTGCTCGTAAATTTGAAAAAACCGCCTAAGTTTGCGAAATTCGTCTACAATTTGCGCAAGCCACTGTCAGTGGCTTTCGAAACAACAATTCGTATTTGCTCGTTTCAGAGTCTGCTACAAAACTAATATGCCGACAAAAATTACATTACTCGTATTGGTGCGTGGAAAACACGGAAACTTTGTGAATAGAATCTAATTTAATCGCGGAGCTTGTTTGAGGATTGGTCTCTGGGACATTAAATTGTGCGCCTAGCCAGTGCAAAGTTTGGCTTCTTGATGTTCAGTTTAAATTGAAATGATTAGATAGCGCGCTAAGATTTTGTTTTAGGGTCTGAGTTCACAAGCTACATTTTCCAACAGTTCCTTCCCAGTTTTTCAAATCTCAAATTCTAAAAATGAAAAAAAGTTGATGTGAAAAATTTTGAGGAAATTGCAAGATCAAATTGATTTCTGGGTAAAATTTTCATTTTTAATCGATTTGTCCAAAACAGTCTAAGGCAAAGTGTAAAAGGCATAGTTGGACGGACTTTTGAAGGAACTTTTTGAGATCGGGCCAAATTTCGGCGATAGGGTAATGAGGTAAAGAGAAATTGATTCGACAGGGACATTCTCCTTGTCCCGCGGAGCTTCGACTGCGACGGTGCCGCCCACCTAACCCACCTAGATTTGAAAAGATGGAGTGTTATCTTCGGCCGAAGGTTCTGGATCTCGCAAAAAATAACCCCTCGGCGAACAGTTTACTTGGTGATAACTTCCTTGAAGGGGGAGACTATTAAACAGGTTCGCATGAGCTTCCTGTATTCTTTCTGCAGTTTGCCTAAGATACTGAAGCAATAAAACCAATTTCTTAGGTGCCTCTACCACTGTTTGTCTACTTTGAAATCTAATTTAAATATTTCGTTAACAAAAATTCCATCACTGGTTCGATAAGCACAGGAAATAAATTTATGCTGCCGTTTTTAGCTACTTTTTTTTAGTCGAAGCAGCCGTTTTTAGATTCATTATTTTAGTTTCCCTCTTTAGAGCTGAGATTACATGGATAACTTACCAGGTGCGTAAAAAAAATTATTTAGTTTTCTCTTTCAATGTAAAATGAAAATCTACAGCATTCATTAAAAACCAAACAACTCAAGGTAGATGTTCAAAACAACTCATCCCTAGAAAAATTATTGAAATTTTTGCGGTTTTGAATTATTTGGACATCAATCAACAAAACTGGAAACTTTGAACGTATTTTCTTCAAATAAGTGGACGATGGACAAAAAGGGATCAGGACAAAAGTGCCAATGAATGCATAGAATAAAAACTATCAGGCTTAATGTGGTGTATTTGAGTTTTCACGAAACTGACAAAAGTTTGACATCCATCAGAGCGGCAGTTTTGCCTCAAATTACTCAATTCAAAATAACCCAAATCTAAGTGATGAGTTGAGTAGAAAAGTGAGCATCTTCAGCAAGTATAAATAATGTCAAGCCTGCATTGACATTTAACGAACTCTGATATTAATAAAACTTGGTAAAATCGAATAGTTGAATTAAATAGGAATAAGTATAGATATACTTTTGTAGGATCTAAACTGACCCTGGGTTTAAAAAGGTTTTTTTACTGCTTTTAATTTTAATGGATTTTGTTCGCTAGCGTAACAAGAATAGATGGTCTGATTCTTAACGTTGAAAACAGTCAGATAACATAAGAGTTGAGCACCATATGTAATAACAGAGTAAGACAGGTGGGTGGCCTTGACACCACTGCAACGACTGCAACATAGAATGCACCGAATAAACATGCGATGGTTTATGTATGGCTTGACATACCCCGGGGCCAAAAAAAATCATATAACAGATGATTTTATATATAACTAAACAAACACAATTCCCCACCGACAAAGTGAACTGAATCAAGCACCAGAATATTATGGCTTAAAATTTAGTAACAATTGGAGTTTTGATATAAGTTTTTTTAACAAGAGAGTTTTAGATACTAGAAGTTTTAGATACTAGATAGATACTAGATAGTCGAGCAGAAGAAGAACTAGGCTGGATAAAATCCTCAGTATTTCTTCTAATAAATCTTCGCTTTGGAGTGACGGGAGAACCACCAGCTACGTGGCCTATCGACGGTGAAGTGGCCACATTTTCTTTCACTTCTGTAACGGAAGGTCGAACGGGACTTCCATAACGCGCCGGAGCTTTTCGAGTTCTCTTTGGAGCCCGGGTACTCGAGGAGGAGGAAACCTGCGAATCTACATCATCCTGCGTTACTGGCTGAATTTGAGCTGCTTTTGTTTGAGGATCTATGTCGGTTGAAGTTGGGTTAACAGTTTGTGGTATCACTTGCTGTGACGAACACGATGGGCCTGCCAATTGGTCTGGAGATGATTTCTCTGATACCAGTTGTTTTGGAGGCGCCAGAACAACGTACCGCGAACGTAGAGAAGGAGTTCGAGTTGCTGATGTATCCTCAGCAGGTAGTGTGGCCATAGAAGTATTTGAGGCATCCAGACTGTCTATTGTGGAATCCAAAGGCACGGAAGATGGCTGAAGAGTTGAGGGTACCTTGGACACTAGTATAGCCGGCGATCCCTGACCCTGCACTGTCGAGGATTTCGAAGTCTGATGAGGTGTGGACATAGCACGAGGAGACCTCCTCGGCGACCGCGTTTGAGACATCAATTCTTGATTGTCAGTGTCTGACAGAATGACCATCGGCGGGGCTGCTGAACGTTGATGAGGAGCTGGTATAATGGTGATGGGACAGCGTTGCGTAGGAGTAACAATCTGGCCTCTTGGCGCAAGCTTCATTGGAGGCCTTTGTCCAACCCTGACTCCCAGCTCAGGAGCTACTGCTGAAGGTCTTTTAGCTAAAATCTCACGTTTGTTAACATTACGTTTTAAAGCGATATGATTCTTCCGTTAAACTTTTCACGTATTCGTAATGTACGTGTTGTTAGTGACCCGAAAAATTTTGAACTTAGCCAGTTTATACAGTGGTTTTCCCGAATTTCTGTTTAGACATTTTCTATAAACTTTTACACTGTCAGGACTATGTAGCAACAGAATTCTAAAGTATTCGTACCGGAAGGTCTTTTCATCGAACGTTCTCTACTTGGTGCGTCTGCTACACGATCATAAAACCTCAGAGTACTTTTACTAAGGTCGGTTTTTAAAGCAATAGCAATCTCAGTATTGCGTGATCCCAATTCTCTCATTAGACTGCGTCCCGTTTCCAAATTGATGTTTCGCTTCAGTTGAATCCAACGATTAGCAGCGCGAGCAAGTTCAACCAGGGCTTTGTACTGCTTGGTATCAGCAATTTTCTGTCCGGATACATTTTTCTTGAATCAAAGTGGCACGTCAGGGATGAACTCCTTAACCAACGCACTTTTAAAGCCAGAACTTTAAAATGGCGACCGCGTTTGAGACGCGTTTGAGACAACTCCCAGCGTTTCTTCTAAGTAGCTGGGCCGAACCAAAATTTTCCACAAAATTGAGAAGATTTTCTGTGGTTGCAGTATTTTTCAGAAGCGCAGAAGCGTTAATCCGAGAAGAAGACGTATCACTATATAATTGGTCAACAAAAGTGAGTTAACAAATGAGCAGAGCTGACTTGAAAATGACTTGTTTTGGCCTTGAGGAGGCGTGATATTGATTTTGGACTTCATGTGTGTATTGATTTTGATATGCCGTGCATAGGTATATAGGCTTCTAAAAACTTAATGACTTTTTTAGAACCGGTATTTTTTGTAAGTAAAGCGGACGAAAATTTTGAGAACCGATCAACTACGACTAGAATGAAAACCTTCTTTCCCTTTTCATCCTGCAAAGGTCCAGCAAAGTCTAGCTGTAATTCCTCGTTCGGAGCAACTAAAGGAGGGAGCGGTAGCGAAGAATTAAAGCTTTGAGATGACTTCATGTTCTTACCGAACTTTGTACTTTCCATGCACCCCTGACATTTCTCGACAATTTGACGATTCATGTATGGCCACCATATATATTCCGCCACCTCAATCATAGCTTGCTGTCCTGGATGAGATCGGTGTAAACGCGTAAGGATTGCTGAACGAAGTTTGAAAGGAGTTACCAGTTTGTTGTCGATAAGAATGCAATTGTCCACCACAGACACGATCGGCCAAAACTGCGAAATGTACACTCCTTGTTTAGAAAAAGACTGCACATCGTTGTCCAGGATTGCCCTCTTCATAGGCCCAAGGAACTCGTCTTCGTCAGTCAGTTCTGCTAACAGTCCAACATCAAATAGGCTGGGAAGGCCTACGATTTCTCTTTTATCCTGAGAAACAAAGCGTTTTGGTTTGACTGCGCAAACTCCAAGGGGCCGTTGCCGTTGGCGAGCTCGAACCACAAGTCGTCTGCGACGGCACTTCTCAAGAAAGTCCGCCAAAGACTGTAACGGAGTTCTTGGAGGACGCTGCCGATTCCTCGGGCCTCGCGTATTGGCTACCTGCAGTCGGTTATAGCGGAGTAGAGGGCGGAGTTATCCGGAGCCATTTCCACAAAAGTGGGAACTGGGGTGTTCGAATGAGGAGCTGAGGTGGTCGGTTGATCGCTGTTCTATTGAGGGGCTGATGTGTTGTTCGTTTGTCCGCCATCTGGGGCCGAACCAAATTTTTCCTCAAAATTGAGAAGATTTTCTGTGGTTGCAGTATTTTCCAGAAGCGCAGAAGCGTTAATCGGAGAAGAAGACATATCACTATATAATTGGTCAACTGAATGTGAGTTAACAAATGAGCAGAACTGACTTGAAAAAGACTTGTTTTGGCCTTGAGGAAGCGTGATATTGAATCTCAAATCTGATTGGCTGTGTCCGTGATCACACGTCCGATCGCCCTCTATCGGTTTGATGCTTTTAGAACATCTTTTTTCTGATTGGCTGAGCACTTCCGTCAAAATTTCGTAGCCCTCGCGCGGCTGAAAACTTGACTGAACGCACGCACATGATTGGTTAATGCTTTCCGTCAACGAACGCCACTTAATTGGCAACCGGTTTCTGAAAACCACGTTTAAACCTGATTGGTCAGAATCACCAGTCTCGCCAGCGACGCCCTCTTGCGAGGAACCACTACATCGAACACCATTAAATTGCGATACAAAGTCATCGCCCCCTACCGGCAAATGACGAATTTTAGTGAACGATTCTGATTGGTCGAAAGAAAGAGAATATGAAAGTGCGCCCTCCCGCGGCCCTACACCAGAAGTACTAATGCCATCTGGCTTTTGTTTATGGTTCAAGTTCCCAGTAATTATATGAGAAGCAAAAGTGGGATCAATAAATTCTGCCGAAGGAGTCCAGGCGCCGGCCCTAATTGAATTACACGCTTGACTAAAATTTTTGATGGTTTTAATAACAAATAACTCATCATAAACAGAACTAGGGGGGGGGCTGTAAAAGTAGGATGGCGAGAAAGATAATCTGCCATACCAAGCGTAGCACCAGGCACATGCCGAATGTCTTAATCAAACGGCAAAAACCTGTCTGCCCAATGTATTAAACGCGACTGATAAGGTTTATTTCCCCTGTGTTCTTTCAGAGCCGAAATAATTGCTTTGTGGTCTGTAAGTATTTCAAACTTGTTGCCTAACAGATATGTGCGGAAATGCTTGCACGCCCAGACCACCGCTAACAACTCCAATTCATTAGTACTATAATTAAGTTCAGCAGTTTTGAGAAAACGTGAGGCAAATGATATAGGTACCCACAAACCTTCATCAGTCTCCTGCTCCAGACACACTCCCAAACCAGAGTGGCTAGCGTCACACTTGACACGCGTTCTCTTTGCCGGATCTTAGTGATACAAGTCTGTAATTTCGGCAACGAGCTCCAGAACCTTCTGAAAAGCTGCCTCTTGCGGTTCGTTCCAAATAAAGTTCCTCTCATTGCAAATTTTAAGAGAATCCCGAAATTCACACGTAAGATTATGTAAACCGGGCACGAACTTTCGGAAATGATTGAGCGTCCCCATGAAGGATCGGAGTTGTTTAAGCGTCCTAGGTGCCTTCAAATTTCGGAAAACTGCTCCAATCTTGGAAAACTTTG